CTTTTCTTAAACCTCCATTGATTAGGCAATTGCTCTGTTTGTGCCAGGTGCTGCAGTGGGCTCTGAGGTTCCTATCCTGTTTAATCCTCAGCCAGCCTAGGCGGCAGGGACTAATGCTGTCTGTTTTCCAGGAGAGGAAACGGCAGCTTAGAAAGTCTAAGAGACAGGCCAAAGTTGCCACATCAGTGAGACGGCAAAGCCCAATCTGTCTGCCGCCACAGGCTTTGTCTTCAGCCATTGATCTCAACCAGAGGTGATTTGGCTCCGGGAGACATTTGGGGGGAGGGGTGCTACTGACATCTAGTGGGTAAAGATACTGCTAAACATCAGATGATGCATAAGACAGCCCCAGAGTAGAGAATTCTCCAATCCCACCTATGGCCATGGTTATTGCTGTACTATTTATACCAGCCAGGATAGGGACACAGCCAGTGGCCACTGACAGGTGAATGGATGAACATGTGTATACTCATGAGGGAATGTTATCAGCCATTAAAAAGAGTGAAATCCTGTCATTTCCGGCAAAGTGGACGGAACTGGAGGACATTGTGTTAAGTGACGTAAAGTACGTACAGGACGACAAATACTGCAGGTTCTAACTCATTTTTGGCAACTAGAAAAGTTGACCCCTCAGAAGTAGAGAGGAGCAGCCCACTAGAGATGGGGAAAGGTGGGGAGAGGGAGGGGCAGAGAATGGTTGGAAAACAATACCAAATATGCAGTTAGTTAGGAGAGGATTAATTCTAGTATTTTAAAGCACAGTATATTAACTATAGTCTATGGCAAGCTCTATTTCAAAATAACTAGAAGAGCTCAAACTTTCTCCACATATAAAAATAAGACATGTTTGAAAAGATAGAAATACCAATTATTTTGATTTGATCATTACACATTGTATACATTTATTGAATTAATCTACTACATCTCAGAAACATATATAGATATTATGTGTTAATTTAAAAAAATTAAAAGAGAAAGGGTAGAGGGGGTGAAGGGCTCACAGGGAATGGGGAAAAAATAAGAACCAAGATACAGCATGCACAGGTACAAGCACCCAATGATAAATGTAAATGTATTGTATGCCTAAAATGTACCAATAAAAGAATTTAAGGAAAAAAAAGTTACTCTAATAGTTAAAAAAAAAAAATTAACAGAGAATTATTCAGCCCCAAATTTCAGATGAGGGGATATTACAAAACCCTCCTTCTAACAACTACCTAATATGGCTGGGGATCTCTTCCTCTTTCCTTCCCATTCTCTCCATTTCCTCTAAAAGCTGAAGATGGAGAGAAATGAGCCCTTTTCCAGCGTACTTCGGACATGCAGATTGCCATAGTTCTTCGTTATGCTCTGAACTAGGGTTGCAGTCCTGGAAGAAGTAAAATGTGTTAAGATTCTTCTCTAGAATTACTGTTAAAAGGAAGGAAAGGGGAGCTTGTGTGTACAGCACTGGACTAGATACCTTTAAACCCACTGTAGGAGTGACTCTTCCAAATAGTTCTTAGGCTTAGAGCAAATCACTGTTACCCACCTCCCAGTCCCACCCTATTTAAACCAGTGAAGAGCAATGAGCCTCAAAGAGGTTAATGGCTGAAAGATGGGACCTGGAATCTAGCTGGGACCTTTGAGTCCAAGGCTCTGTTTCACAGACGTGATCCATTTTTGTTTTAAAGGAAATAAGGACAGCTATGTTGAAGAAGAAGGGAGCTGAAAATAGAGCATTAATAGTCCTCCTACTTTTTAATTAAATGGTTGCTTTTTATACCCTATAAAGCAATCACTGTATACCATGGAAAGTCCAGATCAGTGTATGGGGGTGTGGGTGTATTGGTTATAATAGGATTTTTTTACAGTTCTTGAGGTCCTTTCATTATCCATTATCTCATTTGGTCTTCTCAACCATCTTGGGAGGCTGGTGGAGGAAAATGTCTTCATTTTATTCCTGAAAATCTGGGCCTTGGAGTGGAGTAGGATGTAGCCAGAGGGTTTACGGATAACCAGCCCCCAGAAGGCACTCTCCCTGCAGCGCCCGAGGGGTCTGAGTCCCTGACCCTCTTTGCTCACAAGCCTGGTTCAGCACCAGTGAACTCTGACTCACTAAGGGTTAAGCCACATAAACTCTTTTATGAGTGGTAACCATATAATATGCCGCGTAAAAAGGGCCCCTCACGGTGCTGGCTGCTTTCCCTTGGAAAGGGGGTGCAAAGCTTGGGATCTCAGGTCAGTACAGCTTGGGGAAGGGGAAAGCTCTGACCCCGTAGTCCTAGAGGCTTCTCTGTGAGGTGGGAATAGTTCTGGATGCTTCCAGGTCACAGTGAGAAATGGCACTTGCCTTCTGGAGAGGAACTGAGAATTAGCCTGAGACATTTATGATTTTTTTTGTATTACTTGCTAATTTTTCTATATACACAAATACATGAATGTCTCACTCTGGTTTGGTCTTGTTCCCATTTTACAGCTGGGGAAAGTGACACTCAGGAAGTTATTGACTAGACAGATTTGGAACTCGAGGTCATCCACAAAGGGTAGTTGACCTGGAAATCCAAGCCACATATCCCCATTTCCAAAGCTGAGCGGCCCCCACTTTCTGGTAGTTAGGAAGCAGCCAATCAATCCTCTGAGCTGCTTGAGGAGCCAGCTCAGAGGTGACTAGCCAGGTCTCGCTCCTGATGAAATGGCCACTGTGAAAGAGCCCTTGTAGGCCAATCCCTGAGTTAGAAGTTGAGGTGAGCCTTCCCTGGCCTCCTCCCCAGGTGGAGGGCCATGCTCCACGCAGATGGGCTGGGCTCTGAGCTCCCGCCCTCTCTCTCAGGGTTAAACAGTAACCTTTCCACTGCTTGTGGGTGATCAAGAGCTACCCAGGAAGAAGCCCAGCCTTGAGCAAACAAGAGCCCAGGCCTGCTGGTGTCCTCCTCCCCCTGCCAGGCTCCCTCAGACTTGGAGGTTTTCTTTTGCCTTCAAGTCTTCAGACTGATTTCTTAGCTTTAGGGCGACTGTGCTAGAAAATGGAATGGGAAATGCCTAGTTATGGTAAAAATGAAAGAGAGTGGACAGTTCGACCTGAGTTGACTTTTTCTTCTCCAAAGGTGAGAATCAAAGTAGTTTCCAGAAGGAAACTTAAGAGCCAGCATAGTTACCTTCTTTAAGTTTTCAGATGGGGAAACTGAGGCCCTGAGTTGTTTCTGGTTCAAGTTATCCAGAAAGGAAACAAATTTCTTCATCATAACTCCTGTCCTACGTAATCAGGCTCTACTTTCTACCAAGTGCTTGAGGTGTAGAAACCCATTTGTTTTCCAACCAGTATTGAGGTTAGACAGGATTATTGGCTTTTTGTGTATGAGGAGCCTGGGGTCCAGGAGGTTAAGTAACTTGTGCGAGTTAATATGAACTTGAGCTATGTACGACGTGGGAGAAGTTGCAGTCAACCCTCCCTGTCCAGGATTCAGAGCCCTCATATAGGGCATGGGTCACAGAACCAGCTCTCCTCTTTTCCCCTGGGGGTCCATGCACTGCTACCCTGCCCATTGTGCCTAGCCTGTCTTTCCTTCTCCACCTTGCTTAGTCTGAATTGGAGCCTGATTATTTACCAAGCAACAGTGATGACAGATGCTAATAACTATCATACATATTTGTGCCCAGCTTGGCTCAGCCTTTAATCGCTGCTGTATGCCTGGAACCTGCAGTGGGCTGATAAATATTTGTGGAATAAACGCATACATGAATGCATTTCTATGCCTTTCTCAGGGCCCTCTTCTCCCCACACAGACCCAACACAGAGGCAGAAAAGCAGAGGCTCAGTTGGAGGTGGGGGCAGTGACAAAGCTGGAATTACACTGGGGAAGGGATATGAGTTCCAATCTGTAGACACTGGTGATATTCGAGGATGAAAGATTTCCACCAAATAGGCAAGAACATTTCCATGATCTGCCTGATAATGCGCTGTTCACTCCTGTATCCACCCCAACATTTTAGCAAGAGCAAGTGACTTTTACAGCCTCTGGGTAGTGCTCGGTAAACTTGCAGAAACTGCCTGCTCTTCCTCTGAATAATTGCTCACCCCTGGGGGCTGGGTCTGCAATGTGGAGTGTGCCTAGCGTGGGGCTAGGCACTGTCGTAAATGCTGGACGATGGAAGGTGTAACATTTTTGCATTCTTTAGCAAAAGGAGACCGGGTCATGGAAGAAAGCTCTGTTCTTAGGTCCTCTCACTGAGAAAATGACCCCACAGACTGGTCAAGTCATTTTGTGGTGAGCTTTAAAGCCATTGAGTCCTCCAAGTCTGTCATAGGGGAAGAAAGGCTAATCATAACTTTTACCAGAAAGGAAAAATTTAATTCTCTTTACCAGAAATGGGCAGTGCTTATCAGAGAAACCAAATGATTTCTGATATTATCACACAGACAAATAATTAAGAAGCTCTGTAAAATACAACTGAAGCACTCAACCTCCCAGTGCACCCCCTGGCAGGTATGTTCACTCAGGAGACATCGCTGGGTCCTCAGGTGTGGGGACCACTTGGATGTGGGGATATGTAAGCTCTAATTTCCATCAGAGACCCTGCAAAGAGTCTGGGTCTGAAATTTCATTGACTGAAATTCCACTTTAAATAAAATTTCTTTTGCATTTTCACCTCTGTGAACACACACACACACACACACACACACACACACGAACACACACTCCCTTGGATGCCAGTCAGAGTTACCTGGGAGAAGGTATTGCATTTTCCCTCTGCTTCATTCTCAATCAGAGATTATTCATTTATGAATGAGTGGCTATAAAAACTTGCCTCATGCATATGAAAATTGAACCTGGAAATTTTTAATTGCCATGAGTTTTGCTTTTACAGAAAGTGCTGTGAGAATGGGTGGGTGGACACATTTTTTTTCTTTTCTTTTCTTTTTTTTTTTTTTGTCTTTTGAAATGAACGCTATGATCTGTGTTCTCCAGTGACATTTGTCCAAGAAGCACTGACTGAACTGGCTGTTTGGTCCCTTACAGATCATGATTCTGGAAGGAAGTGGTGTAATGAATCTCAATCCCAGCAGCAGCCTCCTCCACCACCAGCCGACCTGGACAGACAGCTACCCCACGTGCAATGGTAAGGGCTGGGTGGGCGTAGACCTCACTCCCCAGGGGCATGCTTCCTTTGCTTGAACTCCCCTCTCAACCTGACATTTGGAAACTACAGATTTTACTCAGCAAAGGAGATTGACGACCAGGCAGAGTGGAGAAAACATCTTTTGTTTTTGGTTTTTGCAGTGCTGGAGATAGAACCTAGGACTTTGTGCACACGAAGCACAAGCTCTACCACTGAGCTACACCCCCAGCCCTGAGAACTCTTAATACTACGGTTGTCTAGAGGCCCCATGGGCACCAGACAAAAGTCCATTTGAGATATTGCACTGTGTCCAGCTGAAACGCAAGGTTCCAGATTGGCCCTCGGGCAGTGAGGGTGGTAGAAGAGACACCCAAAGTGAAGCCTTCCTGTTGAAGCTTTCAAAAGCATTTTGCTGGCATATATCAAAATAGGACAGGAGAGGCTCTGTGTGTGTGTGTGTGTGTGTGTGTGTGTGTGCAAGCGCATGTGCGCCCATGTGTGTGTATTCATGTTTTTATCTAACACACACACAAAGATGGAGGCTAACAGCAGCTTAATCTTTCTAGTTCATCTTCCAGTGATCTCCCTGTGTAAGGGGTCAGAAATTGGTAAGGAGACCAGGCACTCTTGTTGAGCGCTTGAATCTCTAGAATTTATTGATCTACAGGAGGAGGGCCTGGTGGGCAGGCTTGCAGAGGGTTTGGTGATCAAGCCTGTGGCTTCCTGCAGAAGCTGAGTGGAATAAAGCTGCTGCTGAATCAGATGCCCCACCCACTGCAGTGAAGGCTTCAGCGTAGCCAGGCTGCTGGGCACCCAACAGCGCCAGGCTTAAGAAGCTCTGGGCCTTCTCCCACCCACACCTGCTGCTAATCTCCCCGCCAGAGACTGCTGCTCGTTTGTCTTGAAACAAGGACACAGCTGAATGGGATGCACAGTCTGAGAAGCAGGAGTGGGAGGGTGACAGAAGGTGACATTCTCCCACGAGTGGCTGATCTGAGTGCAGCTCCACCTCTTTTAATTTGTTGTTTTTCCTTTTTTATTACTACATGTTTGCGATACATAATAAATGCATTCACTGTGGGGAATTGCTACAAATACATATTACATTTTGAGCACCTCTTTCAGTTTGGAATCTCAGCCAAACAGGTAGAATATGTGAACAAGTGGCCTTCCCTTATTTGATCACCTGTCCTACCAGACTGTTACCCTTTCTGGGCAGTTATGTTTTCTGTTGTAGGCCTTAGACTCCTTGGGGACCTAGGAGGAAGCTTCTAAGTAGAGCAGGGAGTTCTGAGCATTCTCAGGTCCTAGGGCCTTTAAGGAAAAGGCAGCATTCTTTTTGTTTTGGAAAAAAACTGGAGCAATTTACTTAGCAGGAAGTAGAATTTGCCGTTTTTATTTCTTAAATTCTAAAGGCCCCAGAGAAGGCCAGCTCTTTATCAAGGTTAGGAAAAGGAAAAGGAGGTCAGCTGAATGACAGAGAGGATCAGAATTCACAAGATTTTCAGTGTTTCTTGTGAAACTTCTGAAATTTGACGCGTTTTCTGCCTGTAAGACATCTTCCCCCAGTCAACTTCAGACAAAATTCTCTGCTTCTGCCAAGTTGGGACAGGACACAATTTTAGAAACTATTCTTTAATCTAGATCATATTAAATTTGCAGCAGAGATAATTCCAGGTTTGTTGTGGGGTTATGGAAAGGTGTTGCCTCCTGTTGGCAAAATTAGAACTTCACCGTCATAGGAACACAATTAAAAAAGGATAATAGGGCCGGGGATTTAGCTCAGTGGTTTCACTGCCTGCTGTGCAAGCGCAAGGACCAGAGTTTGATCCCCAGTACCAAAAAAAAAAAAAAAAAAAAAGGTAAAAAAGGATCAAAGACTGAATAATTGGGTGTTGAGGACAAGGCCATGGGCATTGAGGGATTGGGCCTTTCAGAGCCCTGAATCACCCTGTCACCCCACAGCTCAACCGGATCAGCACTGTGGGAAGCTTTTTAGAGATGCAGACACTCTGGCCTCACCCCAGACCCACTGAATCAGAATCTGCATTTGAGTAGCATTTCCCTGTGGCTTATGATCATATAAATATTTGGGAAGTAGTGATCTAGCATGGCTTTGACAGTTAGAGATAATTTCCCTATAAATACCTTTCCCTCTTCTGGTCCATATCTTGAGTTGGTGACATATTCAGTTGGATTTTGCCTGCTTCCTCTTGGTGGGATGCAATAGAATCTGCTTCTTGGAGCAGAGCGCCTCCTCTTGACACCTCTTTTGAGGGGACTATAACATGGCCCCAGAGACTGGCTGTCTTTTCTCCAGTGCCCCATCTCCCAAGCCCATGTGACTTTGGACCAATTATATGATATTCTATTAACTGAGCAAGAGTCCATACATAGATGGTTAGCATACTAAGCTCAACAATATTTACCTACTTGAATGAACTTCACTTCTTCACTAGTATTTGAATTAAACATTGTCTTAATGTATCTCACAGTGCTTCTGTATTTCTGCATTATTTCTTCTTCAGCCGCAAAGTCCACTGAACAAATATATGGTGAGCATCTACTATGGCAAGGTCTCTGAGGATATTTTATAGGACATGTGAAGATGAGTAAGACAGAGTCCATGACCTTGAGCATACAGTTTACAAAGGAGAATAAGACAGTACTCAGAGGCCTGTAAAGAAAAGCAGGATATGACAGCAGCCATTAGGAGAAATCCCAAGCAATCTCCTGGAGAATCAAAAGATAGGGAGCCCTGGAAGTAAGTGATAGCTTTACTGGTGACCAAAGTTTGAAAGACAGGTAGGAATTCAATGGGAGTAAGAGATAGAATACAAATACACTGAAAGAGCAGGATGGAAGGCAAGAGTCGTGGACCACTAATAGTTAGCAAAGAGTATCAATGCCTGGCTTGTCAATTTTATACCTAATTTCAGTGTCTGTATTGAACATGTACAGAGTTTTTCTTGTCATTATTCCTGAAGTAATACAGCAGAGCTATTTATATAGTATTTTCATTGTTTTAGGAATTGCAAGAAATCTAGGGATGATTTGAAATATATGTGAAGATATTTGGTAAATGTCATGCCATTTTATGTAAGGGATTTGAGCATCGGAGGCTTTTATTATTCATGAGGGATCCTGAAACCATACCCCATGGAGACCAAGGGATGATTTGGGTGTGGATAATAAGCTAGTAAGTTACTGAAACTGTAGCAGTGCTTTGGTTTTTGTGGGACTTGGGGTGGGGCGGATGTCAGCTCCAAGCCCTCATAGTGCAGGGAGGAGCATCAGGAAAGGAAGAACATGAAGGTGCAGAGGTTCACTGATGCCCCGGCCATGGTGGGGGAAAAGAACCATACTTCCCAGAGCCTGTCCCATGGTCCAACCCCCACGCTGATGCTGACAGGCTGGGGCTGTGTTCCTCATGACATCCAGGGGCCAGCCAGGCAGGCTGAGTGTGAGATTTATGCCTGGCAACAACCAGAGACCACTCTCAGTGTCGCCTCCTGCTTTGCAGTTTCCAGCGGGTTTTTTGGAGGCCAGTGGCACGAAATCCACCCCCAGTACTGGACCAAGTATCAGGTGTGGGAGTGGCTGCAGCACCTCCTGGACACCAACCAGCTGGACGCCAGCTGCATCCCTTTCCAAGAGTTTGATGTCAACGGCGAGCATCTGTGCAGCATGAGTCTACAGGAGTTCACGCGGGCAGCGGGCACAGCGGGGCAGCTGCTCTACAGCAACTTGCAGCATCTCAAGTGGAATGGTGACTGCCCCTCTCTCTGTCCTGCTAGGTGGTGGCTGGGAAGCTTGGAGGTCTGCAGCTGGCTGGGTTCCTTATCAGGGACAGTGAAGGATGGTCTCACCTCCAAATGACCATTTCCCAAGACAGGGAAGTAGGACAGAGGTGACAAGACAGTAGCAAAGCCTGGGGGACCCTGTGTGTCTGATTTCTTAAGAATGCCAGTGTAACTCAGTTCTCTCTTCTGGCTGTGTTCATTTCCAGGGAGAGAGGGGGCTAGCTGAATATTCACAGGATACTTGCTACTCCTAGAAATCTCTTTTAAAAAAACCCTTGCCAACAGTTCAGTAGTTTAATTCCCAATCATTTGCTTGTTAAAGACTATCATGACTTCTTTAAAAAGCTAACAAGTAAGCAAAACCAAATCTTCTAGATGTAGGTTCTTAAGGTCTGGACATGTGCAGTTGTTTGTGTGGTGTTTTCTGGAACTAACACTGCCCTAAAGGTTGCCCTAAAGCCTCAAGTCTCTCGTCAGGCCTCGCCTATCACCTAGATGGCCACCATTCCAAGTACCATCCATTGCTGGTAGTTTATTAACACACACACATTCTATACTACTTCATAAGACCCTGTGGGGAAGACAACTCATCTTATAGAATGCCTTGGACACTGACATAAGGTTCCTCTGATAGTGAATGTAAAATTAACTCCTCTGAGAACTGTGGACACCTTGGAAAGGAAGAATGTTTCTGGACAGTGAGCTGGTGCAGCCACAATGGGAAGAACATTTATGTCTTAGCAGAAGGGGTGTTTCAGTGAGTGAATAAGGATGAGGAAATGTGAGTTCCAAGACTATGAAGCAGAGTCAGACCCTGACAGCTGTGGTCAACACTGAGAAGGACCCAGGAGTCTGGCTGTGAAGCTGGCAGCTGGGGTGGCCATTTTGGATGACCTCATCCAGCACCCTGGCACTCCTTTTTCCCCACCCACCTGGAAGCCTTGATTGCTCATTTTTCATTTACAAGAACCAAACCAAACAAGGCCCTATAAATAACTCCCAGGAGTCTTCAGAAAGAGCCGACTTATATCTGAAGAATTAAAAATATTTATCTCCCCACCTCCAATTAAATCCACTCCTTTAAAACTTTACTGTGACTGAGGCCTAAGACAGGGAGGTCTGGGAGGTGCCGCAGCCATCTTTGACCTTCCATCTTTGACCTCTCATGACTTGTTTGCTCTTGCTGTGTGCTGCCGTGGCCTCTGAGTGCCTAATGGTCAGATTTTTCACCCTTGTTTTATTGTTTACTTTTTTTGGTAGACATTCGATTAACTTTTATTTATTTACCTATGTTGGATGCTCTAAGTGAACTGAATTATGGAATGACCTTATGACAAAATAAATATTGTATCCATTTTACAGATGGGAAATCTGAAGGTCAGAGTGGTTGGAGGCATGACTTCCACTCCTGAAATAGACATAATCTCTCTGGGAGGGAAAAAGTTCTTGATTCACTCATATATACATATATGCTTTTATATGATACAACTCGAGAGGAGGTGTAAACAAACACTAGGACATGTGGTGTGTACCATTTCTTCCAGTGTTGAGGTCATAAATAAGGGAAGACTTACTGCATATTATCCAAATGTACTTCATATCTTGGGTCTAATGAAAGTAGACTTGATCAAATTTAAAATCAAAGAAGAATTGAGCTAGTTAAAATCCTATAGTTTCCTATAGTTTTGTTTTCATTTCATATTTTGATATGTGAAAGCACCTAGAAGTTACTTAGTGATTCGATTGACTTTAATCCCCTACATTTACAGATGAGGAAACTAAGACTCAGAAAGATGAATGTCTTATAGCTAGTAATGGAAAAACTGTTTCTCTGATTTCTGAAGTTCTGTGTCCATCATAGTAGATTCCTTCCCCTTCAATGCCAAATAATTCCACTGATGGGGATGCCATAGACCTTATTTTTCTGAGGTCAGGGACATCTCTAGGTTTGAACCTGTAGAAGCTGAGAAGGAAGTACTTTCTCATAAGCAAACATAGGTGAGCAGGCAGTGAGACAACAGAAGCTCACTTATCATAGAAACCAGCTCTATTCTTATTGAAGCATGGAGTTTTGGCTCCCTCTGGGCTCTCACTGACTTTCTCACTGTGTCCTTCACAGGTCAGTGCAGCAGCGACCTGTTCCAGTCCACACACAATGTCATTGTCAAGACGGAACAAAATGGTGAGTGGTAAGAGAGGCACGGAGCCCATTTGGCTAGGCAAAGTCCTGGGGCACGGGGGTAGGGGCCGATTAGGGTGGAGTGCAAGATAGGCTGGGGCAGCGGGTTTTGGCAAGAAACCCATGGAGGCCACTTCCCTATGTGGCTCCCATGGGCTTCCCTTGTCCTTGGGACTGTTGACCCCCAACTCCTTCTGATGTATAGTGGGATGGTGAGCTTGCACTTCTTTCAGGGCATCATTGGACTTCCAGCCAGTAGCTGCAGAAATGCAGAATCTAAAGTGAGCCTCTTCACCAGCAAAGAGGGAAGGGATTGGATTTGGCCAAGTTTGGAAAGCAGAGCAAGAGAAGAGGAAGTTAGTGCCTCCTCTTCTCCCCCACCTCCCCTGATGGGAATGTGTTCCTTAAAGAGGGAGATGCCGACTTGGTGGTCCAGTTGGTGGGTCCCATGGGTCTCCTGTAGAGATGTCTAAAGACAGCCGTGAAACCCTGCTTCTGCCTTAAGGACATTTTCACATCAAGGATACTATTTTGGGCTCTGAGCAGAGTCTATAATCCCATAGATTTGATGCTCACTTTGTTCCCCTTCCTCTGTTTCACATCTCTCTACTGGAGGCTGTCCCCTAGAGTCCACAGCCATGAGAAAACTGCAGGTGCCACTGCTCCTGGGCCACTCCCTGTGTCCACATCAGGGAGATTGGGAGCCATGTGGGCTGACCACGTTTGTCACAGGCTTCCCTGAGGGTTGCGTGCCAGTCACCAAGGACAGAATTTGACCTGGGGGTAATTTGTGAGTCACTCAGTACCAAAATTGGCTCATGCAGTTATTTACTCTTTTATAAGGGTGCTGGTCTACCATTATTAAAGGGAAAAAAAACAATAGCTGCTAAGCATGTTAATTAGGCCTTCCTCACCCTGCCCTCCTCTGGATAGATGAGGATAGGATGCCTGGATGGTCTATGATTTATGGGCCTGGCTCTAGGGACAGAAACATCCTCTGGCTAAAAGGATGCCCTGTCCCTTGGCCTTACAGATAGCCCCACTGGCAGACCCAGAGTGTCCTCAAAGAACTTGGTAATTCCTCCTTGACCATCCAGACATTCTTGTGTTGCCAGTTTGGAAAAGCTAAACTAAAGGGTGGAGAAGAAGGTTCACCCTGGGAGGAGGGGAGAAGAGGCTTTTCAAGGGGCCAACACCCCCAAACCTCTTTGGTTCAGTTTGTTTTCAGAGACAACAACAGGTGTACTAAGTGATCCAACAAGGAGAGAGGGTGTAACCCCAAGAGATTGGGCTTGGGGTGCCCAAACGCCTAGCTATTAGTTAAAATACCAACTAAATCCCTATGTCGTAAACAGGAGGACTTAGCCAGTGAGTCAGGTTTTCTACCATTTATGTTGTAAAAACAAAAGGAAACTCAGCCAGTGGCTTACTACCCTGGCCCTAAAACTCAGCACCTAGGCAGGAGAGGGGCAGAGAGGCAGCCTGGACTATGGTTAAGGGAAAGAAGGGTGTTAGGGAGGTGGGGCAGGGGGAAGGTGAGAGATCTTAGCACTTAGCCGGGAAATAAAATGCTGAGTTGGAGACCAGCCAAGATCTGGGGGTTGTGTGGGAGTTGGACTTCATTTGGGCTAGGTGGAGGGGCATTTCTTCAAACCTGAATCTGAAGAGTGGGAAGACCCGGCTAATCAGAGCCAGGGCTCTTCTTTTTCCCAGAGATGAGGCAATGGGGCCTCATTCTTAAAAGTTGTTTGTTTGATTTGGTAATACTTTCTTCCCTTCTCCTTGGTTTTGTTTTGAGAATTTTTTTTTTTTTTTTGTCAGCCCTTAAACTAACTGGAGACACCCTGGAGGGAGGGGACTGTCACTTGGCTTGAGGGTACATTCTGAATCTCAGAAATGGAGAAAGTGTGACAGATGCACAGACTTTTTCTGAAAACAAAGCAAAATGAAATAAAAACACCATTAATTCTCCCGGAAAGATATTTATAGGAAAAGATGTTCATTAGCCATTTATCATACATTTATTTGCCTCTAACAAGGGCTTCACTCCACACCAAGGTAAAAATATTCTGGTGATTATATAATAGAGTGTTAGACACGATTGGAAAAATTCCTAGGAAAACTGAAATATTGGTTTAGGACAAGATTCCACTACTGCAGCTCCTCTCACTTCCCAAATGCAACAGGTATGGATCACACCGACAGCGGCATAACAATGCCATTACCTCCACGACACTGGAAGAACAGTGAGCAATGTACAGCTGAAGCAGCATATTATCCCTTCTCTCTGAGGGCCACCTCCTGCCCTCTTGATGTTTGATGAGCAGGGACTTATAAGAGGTGGAGTTTTCATATTGAGGATAATGATTATTGGTCTTCCCATTTTCTATTCTTTGTAGACTCTTCCATTATGAACACCTGGAAAGAAGAAAACTATTTATATGACACCACCTATGGTAGCACAGTAGGTAACTAACTCCCCAACATGGAAGACCCTTTTCTATTCTTATTCTGATTGTCTAATTGCCACAGTGTGATATAGTAAGGGGGGAGATTTTCATGACTTTCATGTTTTCATTGCTACAGATTTGTTGGACAGCAAAACTTTCTGCCGAGCCCAGATCTCCATGACAACCAGTGGTCACCTTCCTGTTGGTAAGTTGTCCTGTCATCTAAGGCTAAATGTGACTAATGCAAGTGCATAAGTAGTGAGAATTAATGAGAATTACCAACATCCTACATTTCTGCTTTGCTAGAGTCTTCCTCATTAAAAGGCTAAAAAAGGAATTGAGTTACCACTTATAAGAATAGGTGTTCTTTTGAGCCAATATTTATACATCCAAGATGACCAGTAGGGATTCCTCTAGATGTGTTTGTCTGTAGATGTGTTTGTGAAACTAGTCACTATCTTGTGACAACATATTTTGCTCATACTTTCCTTTCTTTTCAGCAACAATTTGCCCTTGGGATATATCTGAAAAAATCATTTACATAAATGGGGGAAGAGGGCTATATTTAATTTTTACCTGCATTCGAACATTAATTTCCAAATACATTTGGCTTTAGAGAAAGAATGTCTACCAGTAGAATTCAGGAGTCATGAACCTATGATGGTGGTCTGTGGGTAGAGGAGTAGACATTGGAAATTTCCAGAACCCCCACAGTCATATTATTGCCTTAGTTTTTAAGTCTAAGTCTGATGGCTCATTGATTCTCTCTAATCAGAGCACCTGCACTCTATGAATTATGTTCACATTGATTGCATTTTGTGAAGATTGGATTCCTGACTCTTAGTCAAGCTTACACCAGTGAGAGGGCTGGCTAACTGGGAATCTGGCTTTCAGATGACACTCCCCTTACAGATGAGCACATTAGCAAGGACAGTGTAGCAATGACTTATGTAGAAGATTTTGTACTTTCCTTGATGTGGAAACTTTTGGATCTCTTTGGGTCTATGAACTAGAAGTTAGATGTCAGTCGCACAGGAAATGCCTTTCTGTAGGAATTGAATTTGGGACAACTTCAGAACTGGGATTTAATAAGGGGATTAAACAACAACCCTTCCTCTTTATTTTTTAGTTTTTGCTTTTGTTGAGTGTGTGTTTTTGAGACGTGAAATAATGAAAGCTTTTGGTCTGAGGTTTTGTTCGGTTCTAGCCCCTCAGATGAGACCTGGCTGGGAGCCAGTGTAAATGCTTCTGGAACTGTGGCTGACACCAAAGCCAATTCATCTCTCTACTCCCCCTCCCTCCACAGCCCTTAGCATTAGGTGTCACTCCAAGTTGCAGTTATTTGTTGAAATGAGGAAGCAGCTCAAACCATGGAAAGGCTCTAAGGTGTCACCCTGGAGGAACAGCCCGCCAGGGTACAATAGCTGTGGTAATAATCATTGCCACAGTAAGGAGTGAAGGCTTCAGGGCTGAGGAAACCACCCAAGTCACCCTCTGATTTCCTCTCACACTTCCTAAGGTGTCACCTCTCTGTCCTTCCAGTTGGGTCTCTGACTTACAGCAAAAGATTTCCACGAAGAATAAAGTGAACTAATGACTTCCTGCACCTCGAGGGTTGTTAGGACTGGAGGCTTCTGGGGAACTTTTCCTAATAGTCATAGCTCTGCAGCCAGGTCTTCCTTCCCCTTTCTGTATCTTGACTTAGATTTTCTAGAATCTCAGCAACAACAGGGGCCTAAGGGGCCGGTTTCTGCTTGCATGCTTGTAGTAAAAGGGAGCTCGTTAGCTTCTGAGTCCATGTGTCCAATATTTTCTGATAGTACTGGTTAAAATGGGTTTATGAATTTGCTATTCTCTAGCTTCTTCATCTTCATCTCCTCCTCCCTTGTCTGTCCTGCATGGGACCAGCGTCCCCTAAAAGACCTTTGCCACCCACCGGAGTCTTTCACATTTCAAGTTCCCATAAATTGACTGAGGTTAAATACATATCTGTCTAAGTTTCAGTGCAAGTTTAAGCGGAGGTAGGGCGGGACTTGCCTAAACTGATGGTCCCTGTGATAAGACAGGTGGGGAAGCGGCTTTGTTTGGATTTCTCTGTCATCTGCCCATTTTTATAAAATGGCTGCCTCAAGTGTTCTGATCTGCTCAATAGTCCTGCAGCCACTCATGCCAACGCAGGCTTGATGTGTTTATCTACTGACTTGTTGAGCCTAAAGCTAGGGTGACACGGTCTATTAGAACACTGAAATTTGTATATCCCGTAAAGAAAAGAAATGGCTCACAGCTGAATCATATGTAAATGCGTCTAATCTTTGCTTCTTGCGAAGCAGTTTAGCTGAAGTCATGCTCTCACACTTGCATCCTGAACTTGTGCCTTGTCCTGCCCCTACCCGGACCCTGCAGACCTTGGCCCTGAGTGGCTGGGAGGGGAGGGAGAGAAAGCCAGGCTGGACAACCTCCCCAGAGTGAGCCATTATTTTATAACAATGAATCACTTAACCACATGGGTAACTTCAAAGGCCTTGACTTTTTATTTTCTGGCATTGGGAAGGAGAGATGGGGGAGAGGCTGGTTGTATTAAAGTTGTAGATCAAAAGATTTTAGTGCTAAGGCAGCTCAGTGATTCTGTGGATTGGAACGGGAAGAGGGGGACTGGAAGAAATTAGATATTTTCTTTGTCTTTGGTTGCTTACTGCCCCATATGATGATGGGAACATTTTCATGGTTTTTCTTCTTTTATTATTATTTCTAACATCTGTTCTTAAGCAGGATTTTAAAAAGTCTTTTCTTAAGCTAGATGGAGGACTAGGTTGGATAAATGATTGCTATCTTAGAGAAATTTTTGTGTAGTCTATCTAGTCTGGGAGCTTTTAATCTAGAGTCTATGAACTCTTGGATGGGCCATCAACTCTTAAAATTGTGACAGAATCCCAGAAGTGTACACATACGTGCATTTTTCTGGGGAGAGGGGCCAAGGCTTGGTTTTGTTTGTTTTTTTAATCTTATGCACAAAGGTGCCTTAACCCCAAAGTGTTTCATTCCACATTAAGCTGGAATTCACAATGAAGATAATGTACTGAGAGACACTCAGGGTTTTCTGAATTCAAGCCTGGCTTGGAAATAATGGCCCTGCACCATCCTGGATGCCATTTGAAAATGAGCTTTGCTTGTGGCCTGCTGGGTAAATGCCACTCTTTGTCTGCAGAACAACGTGGCCCTGTCAGAGTGATGTATCACTTGGAAACCGGGGTGGGTGCCAGATCTGTTGCAATATTGTCACATCCTGATGGGGTGTTGCAACCTTGCCTTAGAACATTCAGGCGGGAGAGCAAAGTCTCCTCCCATTTCCTGTGAATTTGTCCTCCCAGATTTCAGAGAAATCCAAGTCAGGTGCAGGTCCTCCTGGTGAAGATGCCAGGAGAGAGAGTCTTAACCAGAATGAGAAGGTTTGCTCCTGTCCAGCTCTTATTCAAGACCTCTTCTCCACCTTGTGATGGCTTTGAGAGAAACTGCTGGGAGAACTGAGTTGTGACGGGCTGTGTGACCCAGCAGCTGAGTGAGGCCATGTGCATTGGGAAATATACAATCATTAGATCGGAATTATTTTTTCCACTAATGAAAGCAGTAGAGAAATGAATCTGACCCTTGATAGGAAAGACTTTTGTGTTATCAGCTATGTGCTAAGGTGATTGAGCACAGGCCACTGTCTTTGGAAATGGCATAGAAGAGTGCTTATGAGTGAAGACTCTGGGTGCAAAGTATTTGTCTTCACATCCCGGCTCCACTTTCAGGCTCTATGACTGTCGTAAAGTCGTTTGAGCTCTGTGTTTCTCAGATCTGCCACAGCTGTAAGCTATAGACCATAATACCTAGTATATCATACCCATCTCTTAGGGTTATTGTATAAATTACGTAAGGTGATTTGTGTAAAGTGCGTAGTGTAGGCTTGGTACTTAGTAGGTACTCCATAAACAGGAGCCGTTCTTCTTAACTAGGAGTGAGTGTTCAGTGGTTCATAAACTTAAAAAAAGTTTTATTAGTGTATATTTGTGATACATATGAAATACATTCATTGTGGGGAACTGGTGCATACACAGATCACATCGTGATTCTTTGTACTTCCTCTTCACCCCCTTCTCCTTTCTTCTTCCATCCCCAAATCCTCTTCCCACCTCCACAAAGTCTATAACCCTGTATCCTGTCATCGATCTTTTACTTTGCTCTTTACAGTATTTGTACTTTGGGTTTCTCACAGAGACAAACTTTGAGATATTTAACCTTCTGTGTTTGATTTATTTCACTTAGTACTATGGAATCAATCTCACAAATGATTCAAATTTATCCTTCTTTTGGTGGAGGGTGTGAAGGGAGGGCTAGGAATGGGGAAAAAATAAGAACCAAGATGCATTATATAGAGGTACAATTCCCAATGAGAAATGTAATTGTGTTGTATATCTACAATGTACCAATAAAAGAATTTAATACAAAAAAAATTTATCCTTCTTCATGACTGAGTATACTCCATTGTGTACAAATACCACATTTTCTTTACCCATGCATCTGTTGATAGGCAAGATTAGCTGATAGGCAAGATTAGCAGATAGACAAATTTGCTATTATGCCGTAAACATGTCTCCCTGTGGTATGTCTTTATCTTTCAGAAAGATACCTAGAAGAGGTAGATCTGGGTCAAATGGAACTTCTACTTTTAGTTGTTTGAGGATTTTCCATATTCATTTCCATAGTGGCTGTACTCATAAACCTTTTTGAACAATTGAATGAGTACTGTTGACTCTCTTCCTTTGCATGCGGTTTAGTCAGTCCAGGTACCCTAGTAGCCACATGTGGGTCAGTGAGCCCTAGCGGAGGGAGCTCTGACGGAATGTGCAAGAAAGAGACAAGTGGCATGGGTCAAATTCCTAAAAGGATTGACTTGTATTTGGGGACTACTTTGTATTATGATTGGCTGGTTTTCAATTATGGGGTTTTGGGGGGTGTAATATCTATTTCCATTCTCACAACACCCACACTATCCTCTGAAACACACACACACACACACACACACACACAGAGATAAGCTATGTCTATAACCTATGGGGTACAGTGTGAGAATTTGATACATGCATACAATGTGTATTGACCAATGCAGGTTAGTTAGTTAGCATTTCTATCTCTTCGCCAGTCACCATTTCTTTGTGTTTGGAACCTTGGGATCCCTCTCCTCTAGCTCGTTATGAAATAGATAATACATTGCTGTAAACTATAGTCACACTGTTATGCTGTAGACCCCTGGAATTTATTCCTCCTATCTAACTGCATTTTCTACCCATTATCCAGCTTCTCCCTTCCCCTTCCTAGCTTCTAGTCCTCACTGTTCTAATCTCTGCTTGTATGAGATTTGAAACCTTCCACATACAAGGGAATACGTGGCATTTTTTTTTAAAAAAGAATTTTTACTTCCGAGGTCTGCCTCTGTCACCTCTGCTTTGGTGATAGTTGAGTCATTTGTGAAAATAATGTGTTTTCATAGGCCACCGTGGCTCTCTGAGCTGTGCTCAGGCTGCTCAAAGGCCCCTTTGTCAGGGTAACTAAAATAAAACTTTGCATGCCTAAAAAAAGGCACTCCTCTGGTTTAAGAGCCATCTTTCTTTGTTGTAAATGTTTACATTTTTGGGTTATAGAAAAAAAAACTAATGCCCCAAGGCATTAATGATGGTAATCTCATCTCCTAGAGTTCTGCGTCTTGCTCACAACTACCCTGGCTTCTTTCAGTTTTGTGTACATGTAAGCACACATCCACCTCAGGGCCTTTGCCTTTACTGTCCTTATCCATGAGAGGCTTTTCTTTAAACTCTCTGCATGGCCAGCCCCCTCACATCCCATAGGTCCCTTTATCAGTGAAGTCTGGTGTTAATACTTTGGATTAAATTGCAAATTATCCCCACCTCCTTATGTCTATCCCCATTTCATACCCTGCATTATTTTGCTCCCAGCACTTATCATCTGTTTCATGTGGTTCATTATCACAGTCCCAAACAGCATCAGGCATGCAGTAGGTGCTCAATAAATATTGGTTAAGGGGGTAGACGCATGAATAAAAATGATAATGATAGGAAACAGATGAACTAAACTGCTCTCATTTTTCTCTTTAGCAGAGTCACCTGATATGAAAAAGGAGCCAGACCATCCTACAAAGCCCCACACCAAAAAGCACAGTACGTTACCTGGCTTTCTGGCCTTCGGTGTTCTGCTTCATGTTGGTTATAACTGGAGACCCCCAGTTTTCAGGCTAAGATTCCCCCTGCCTACTATCTCTATTTCTTCACTCTGAACTGGGAGGGAAAATAGAGGCCCCAGTTGATGGTTGATGATATTTCAGAATGAGCCACATTATGAAGAAATAGAGGTAGGAAGTGTGCGGTTGTTTCTCAAAGTCGGAGCCCTTGGCCATCTCCTCCTCATTGCATCGTATTTATTCTAAAGCCAGAGCCCCGGTGCATAAGAGCTTCTTACAGGCAGAGGGTTAACAATTTTCTCTTTCCCAGAATAAAAAAGGTGGGAAGAGGAGTGAGATGGGAAGAAGCAATGGAGACGCATCATTCTTTCTTTGGCTGAATGATGCCCTCCGACCTTTGCGGGGTTCTTGTTTCAAGAAATGACTGTTTATTCTAAGTTTTTATAGTGTTCTTTGGGAATTGGATTGCCCCCAATAATAAAGCCTGATGAACATATGTGAGATAACAGACATAGTGCTGAGAGGCCATAGAGAGAAATGAAGATGGTATAATCTAGAAACTATAGAGAGTTAGAGTGTCCATACTACCTGCTAATCTAGGTCACCCCATAAAAGTAAATTAGCATAACCCCGTGGATGGTGTGTGGGAGGGGACAGTGTCACAAATTCAGTGGTTGCTAATTTTACTGCAATGCCTGCTTCATTTTCAAATTGGTAACCCCAACTTTGGCATGATATTCACCTCCCCAATATGTTCTAGTAGTTAATACATAATCTACAGCCATGTTGATTTACTTTTGGAGTGGAGTATTTTTTTTTTTTTGGAGTGGAGTATTTTAATTGGGTTGCTGGACTGGAGTAATTTAATTGGGTGAGGTGCTGGAAAAAAAGTGGTTGAAAGTGCTCTCTGGGGAAAAACTGTTGAAATAAAGCATAAGTAGGTTGTGAATAATAATTAGAAGAAACTCCTTTGGCTTAAGAAACCCAAGACCTGTTCCTTAGTTTTGGCTTTGCCAATATTGACTCTGTTATCTTGGTCAAATCACTTAAATTCTCTGTGCCTCAGTTTTGTGATATATAAAATAAAATGCTGTCCTAATTGTTTATTCTCAAGTGCTTTTTCTAATGGACAATATTTGGCGATTCTGTGATCCATTATCCCTGTTCAGTAGAGTATCTCCCACTTGAAGGGAGAAATTACAACCCAACACTCTCTCTGTCTTTTCCTTGCTGTGATGTAGGACAAAATAAGCTCCATTTCCTTCTTCCTAACAGACCCGAGAGGGACTCATTTGTGGGAATTTATCCGTGATATTCTCCTGAACCCAGACAAGAACCCAGGGTTAATCAAGTGGGAAGACCGGTCTGAGGGCATCTTCAGGTTCTTGAAATCAGAAGCCGTGGCTCAGCTATGGGGAAAAAAGAAAAACAACAGTAGCATGACCTATGAGAAGCTCAGCCGGGCCATGAGGTAAGAAGTTTCATGTTTTTCCAGATGAAAAGGCCACATGACCAGCTGTTTACCTGGCAGTCTCTGTCTGAACAGCCATCTTATGGACTTTTCTTTGTTGCAGATATTACTACAAAAGAGAGATTCTGGAACGGGTGGATGGACGCAGGCTGGTATATAAATTTGGGAAGAATGCTCGTGGGTGGAGAGAAAATGAGAACTGAGGCTACCACCACTTGGAACACAAACCAAAACACACACCTAATAAATAATAACCAGCGAAGAACTCCTGGACGTAAATATTTCAAAGACTACTTTTCTCTGATATTTATGTACCACTAGGGAGAAAAATCTACTGTCAAGAAGGAACACTACAGTTGATGAAATTTTTTTGTTACTTTGAAGTATGTCCTATATGGAGAACAGATGTGCACAGTTTTCTGTGAAATATGATGCTGTATGTGGTCATGATTTGTTTTTGCCTCTATTGTGAAGCGTTTTTCCACAAGAATAACAGGGCTTGTTGCCTTGCGCTTCTTGCTAAGAGAAAGAAAAAGAAATTCAGAGGACATTAAATATTTTCATATGCAAAATGATTTAGGAAAAGACAATGTGTCCTTTGCACATAAGCACTCACATGACCTCATCAAGAGAGATGGACATGGTTGTTGGGATGGAGTTCAGGGTCTCAGATTGATGAGATAAACCAGAAGATTCTGGAAAGTTTAACTTGCTATTTAGGAGCCAAGGCATGGAGAATGGGGACTTCCAAAATCCAGGGTGGGGTGAAATCCCTGCATAATCACATGACTTGGAATGTCCAAATCAGTGAGAAGAATAATGGTGGGGGGCTTTATATTTATTCAGGAATGATTTACCTGTTCTTCCTTTCTCCTAGAATTGTTGGTGAAAAAGCTCAAGAGGAGGGGGGGGAGGGAATGAGAGCAATCCAGGGAAACCCCTCTTTGCATGTATTATTCGTCTTCTGTCTTTGAGTCATCTCTGTCTCGTCTGAATTCATCTCAAAGTGAATGGTTTATTGCTGAGACTTGCATCCAGGGGAAAGCTTAAAAACAAGAAAGAAACAAAAGGCAGGGAGGATAGAAAAGACAAACAGAAAATTCAGCTCAGGAGTAAGGCAATGGAAGCTTCTTCCCTAATACTGAGATTGTTCTGGATATCTGATGACTTACTGGGCCATGAAATCCAGGATGGACATCTGTAGACAATTTGAAAATTGAACATCTAGATTTCCTTTTGCAACTTTGCTTTTTGGCTTCCTCATGTTACTGACTTTCTCCTTCATCCTGACTCCCTGTCTTCAGCAATTATATGGAAGGGAGACTCTTGTTAATAGGAAGGAGTGCTCTTCATCAGCCAATAGACCCCTACCACCGTGTCTTACCCAGTGAAGGTGAGCTATTCATACTCACTGGTTGCTAAGTACCTGCATGCATTTAGAAGGCTGGAAGTAAGAAGAATTAAGAATTCATGAGGACCATTAGGAGTGGTAATCTTGGAGCACCCATGATCTGCCTTCTGAAAGTATAACCAAATTAGTTTCATTTCTGCCTGGCTTGGTCACCTCCACGCAGCTTTTACTAACAAGTAACAATTATTGAGAGGACTGAGAAAAATAAAACTGAGCAGCAAAGATCCTGACTATGCAACTTAGATTATTTCTGCATAAAGACACCTGACTTTCCAAGGTTAGAGAATCTGGGGGCCTTCCCACCAGTTGGCTGTATGTGTAACACATGGATATTTGTGTGTCTGAACAGTGTAAGGTTATTAAGGGGATCTGCCAGTTCTCTGCTCTTCTTTCCCTGGCTTTGCCTGTTCACCATCACCTCTATTTAGATCTTCCCTGTGCTCACCCTTCCTCAAACCTAGAAGTTATTTACACCCCTCTTAATGGGGTTTGGCTCTTTCTGCAACCTTTCCTTTGAGGAACAGTCTTTGATAGGGAGTAGGTAAGTCTGGGGAATACTAAGGAGAACAGTTCTGCAGATAAACAGCAAATTGTGCTATTTGTTGAAAGTGACAGTTTCTTGGCATCTGGTACTTATTTAAATAGGCTGCAGTATTAAGTTCTTGCATACCTCTCTGTTGTCTTGGCCTGACTTTGCTGCCTTTTCTCTGGGCTATTCGTGACTTGGAGAGCTCAAGGTAATTGAGCCAGGCCAACCTGGGGTGTGAACAGAGTACTTCCTATAGTGTTGAAAGGGAATAGAAAGTCCTGCGGAGGAATATCCCTTTGTTTGGGGGACACACAGTGTTTCACTTGAGAAGCTCATCCATGATAGATGTCCACCTAGACACTAAACACAGTCTCCTGGAACCTCTTTAAGTCAAAGGCTCTGTTCTCCTTTCTTAGCAAGTTTTTATGGGAAATTAAGTCACACAATGTACTGCTAGGTCTTCACAAGACTTAGACCATCTGAGGTTCCCCTTGTCCTGACAAAACCTGAGCAAGGTCCTGGATCCCAGAACACACAGTTTCTTGAAGGTTCCACGGAGCAGGCGAGACCCAAGTTAAGAGTTTTCCTTTGAATATAGCGATCCTTCCTCAAAGTTCTTTTCTCGCTAGATTGTAAGCTTTTTGAGGGCAAGGACCATGTCGTATCACTACTGCTTTCCTGGTACCTGGCATGACTCAGGAACACAGTAAATATTTGTTGAATTAATGAATGAGTGCCTTCTAGAAGACTTCTCTGGCTGGAAGGCCATATGTGTAATTGGAACATGAATCATTTCTTCACTGGAATAAGAGCACTACAGCTGAATCTTCCAGGACATATTATCTATTATGAACATTTTACTGTGAGACTTTTTATTTTACCTTCCCACCAGCGCTGAAATGAAACCCAAACAGGCTGTTTGGTTCCGGAAGTCAGTGTGTGTTGGAGAATGCTGTTAACTTACTTGGAACTGTGAGACTTCTCTGGCACAAGGCACCAGTAATTAACTCTTTGACCTATTTTAACCAATGAAGATTATGAATGTGTTTATATGATGTAAATTGCTATTTAAGCATAAAACAGTTCTAAGTTTTAGCATTTTTGGGTTGGTTTTTATTTTTTTTTCTTTTTGAGAGATGCTAAGGGATCTTTTGATAAGGTTAGCAATGCATGTTAGATTTTAGTTTCCAAGCGTGTTGTTTTTCAGATGTATAAAATATTAAAAAAGGTAAAGCAGCAAGAGAGACAATTATATTATTCTAGTTTTTTAAAAAAGCATTTGGTGAATGTGTGCCTACTGTGTGTGCAGCATGGAACCATATATGTGAGGATCTTGTCTAATTATGTAGAGTATAGTAGATCCTCCATGTGTACCCCTGAATGGAAAAACATTGCAGTACTCACAGCAAATTACCCTCAGCTTTGGTTCTTAGGATTAGGTTTCTGGAATAAGACAGCATTGAAAGAGAAAAAAAAAAACCCATTGAGACTTTGTCTTATAAACCTTTGAAATGTGCAGGCCTTCACAAGTTGAACTAAATTGAGATTAATCTTTCTGTAGCTATCTACATAATTCTTGCTTTTCTTGCCATCTGGCTTCCAGGTTGACACTATGTGGAAAGCAACTCTATTGCTTCTGTTGTTTAAAAAATTAGAAATCTTTCCCTTTAAACTATGTTAAATTTAAACCAAGTATTCTTATTTTATTAGAGAATTATATTTTTCAAAATACAGGTTTTTTTTTTGTTTGTTTGTTTGATGGGCCCTGGAAAACACTAATAAAAACCACAGAAACCAGCCTGTAGACGTGTGTTTCATTCTTCAACAAACCACCCAGAACTGGGCTTGGAGGAAAGGCACTCAGCCACAGCAACGGAACATCCGTGGCTTCCACATTCATTTACCCAACAAGCATTTATCAAGCATATCATATGTGCCAGGCACTGCCCTAGGCATTGACTTATGGTACAGAATGAAAGAGACAAGTTTATGTCTTACTGGGTAGAAATAGACAAAGATAAAACACAAACAAATAAAACATGGCATATTGCATGTGTAGTAAAGAAGTGTAGAACAAGGAAGAGGAATAGAGTGCTAGAGCATGTGAGGGTGTACGGCCAAGTTTAGATAGGATTAAGGAGGAAACGTCTCAGCCCAGGGCTGGAGGATATGAGGAAGGGAGCCATGCAGATAATTGGGGAGTGATCCATACCAGGGCCACCAGCAAATTCAAACTTCCTGTCTTATACAGGGGAAAACAGCAAGAGTGTGTGTTTTCCAGAATAGCAATGATCACATAGAGCTTGGAGGCCTTTACCAAGGTCTAGCTTTTCCTTTGTATGAGATGGGGAAGCCTAGAGGAATGATGTATTCCAACTTCTGCTTCAAAATGGTCCTTCTGGTTATTGTGTTCAGGATGGATTGCAGGAAGAGACAGTCAATGTTTGATGTACATCTTACTAAGGATAAGTGAAGAGAATTAGAAAAGATTACTCTCTTGTCCAGATTTCCAATACAATGTTTAAAAATATTTCTGGGCTTTGCAAGTTCAGAATACATTTCTCCCTAGGCCCAGAAAGTTTGTCATTCAGTCACTTAACTTTATAAATAACAAAGAAAATAATAATAATAATACCTAATTATTTTGAGAAGATTCCCTTGATCTCAAAAACGGCAATATGTTTTTTATACATCCTATTGCATATAATCCTCATACAAGCCTGTGACATGTAGATATAATCCCTAATTTTCAAATGAAGGAAATGAAGGTCAGAAAGCTTAAGTGACTTTCTCAAGGTCACCCAGCTAATAATAAGTAGTAGATCTGGCATTGTTTACCCAAGTCCCTCTTCCTACAGTCTTGAAGTGGATTTCTCTAGTTCCTCTGAATGCCTCTCTCATGCATACACCACAAACCCAGGGATTTCTGTGGTCCAACATGTTACAGAACTACTAAATTGACCAATATTTTCAGAACTACACACTGTAGGACTTCTCATAGGCTTTATAATGATGATGTACACTGTGAATTTTCAAAGGAAAGTAAAGGTGTGCTCAATTTCCCAAGCCTATTTAATGATGGATCCTTTCCACCAAAGAATTCATGAAATTAACACTCATTAGAGCACACTTGAGAAATAACGACCTCAGATGTTGAAGAGGCAGTATGTTCATGTCTGAGCCAAATAAGTATGCTGATAATAGTCCTGCATATTAAACTTAGCCAATTTTCAATATATTCCATTTTTTTCTCCTTAAGAAGAAATTCCCTCATTCACTAGCCTGGGCATTAATTGTTTGTGTTGGTTTATTTCTCAATAATCACAAAGAACCTGCAAAGTGACTGGTAACAATGAACCCTCTTGAATTTTAACTCTTTCAAACTATCCAAAACTACAGGCTCCAGCCATGTGTGGCTACTTAAGCTTATATTGATTAAAATTATGCAAATTAAACATTTCATTCTTTAATCATACTATCCAGTTTTCAGTGCTGAATAGCCATGCACAGTGAATGGCTATTGCACTGGATGACACAGATGTAGAACATTTCCATCACTGGAGAAAATTCCATTGGATCACTTTGCTCTGGGATCTTACCCAGGATGGTGAGGTGAGGGTGGACAAGGTAGTGAGCAAAACTAACTAGCAAGACAAGATCTGGGAAGCCTTAGAAATCAAGGGTGACCCTGAATTGTAGAGAACAAACAAACAAGATCTGAAGCAAATATCCTTGTGTTTGCTGGAATGATGACAGTATCTTGGAGTACAAACAAGTTTGATGCTGTTAGCAGAGATTTGGAGTGGGAGGATTTGATTATCCTGACCCATAATAACTTATAGCTATTAATATGGATATCCTAAATATGGCTTTCTGGTTGTGAATGTTGGCACTGAAGGGAAATTCCACTGCAAGGAGAAGGGAAATGAGAGGTCTCCTAAATAAGTATGGCCACCACTGCCCACTGTCTGCTCCAGATGGCACCAAGACTACTGTCTTCTATCTTTTCAGGAACAACTTCTTGTAGCTTACCTTAGCCTTTCTATTTCTTTATAAGTCAGTTCTTCTCTATTAGCTACCACAGCCTGGCCTTTGTTGACATCAAGTCAAGGACAATGCCCTTTTGAAGGTCAAAGTAAAACTCATTCTGCCTCAGGGACTTTGCTTCACCTGCTCTCATCACCTGCAATGTCCTTTCTTTTGATCTCCTTGTGGCTGGCTCCTTCTAGGTCTTAGTTTAAAAAATTATACTTTCCTAATCACAGTTGCTTCAGCTGCCCACCTACTCAGATCGAATTCTTACTATATCATCCATTTTTTTGGTCTCCTCAGAAGGTACAGACTCTGAAATTATAGTTTTCATTTGTTAGTTTATTTTATACTATTTACTTTCTCTGCTAGGGTATACATTCTTATCTTCACCAACTCCTAGAGCTAGGATGTGCCTAGCATATGCACCTGACCCTGTCAACATTTGTTGAATAAATAAATGAAGGATCTTATTTTTAAATTACAAGGCATTTCTTTCAATTTTATGATTTTTGATCCTGGTGGCTCCTTTTCTCTTGCATTTTGAGAAAAGATCTCCCTCTCTTATTTTCTGCAACAGTGAAATTCCTGCTTTTCTGCTGTTCTCCAGATCTCACTCTTCTCATCCCTTTAATCACACCTGTTCCCCAAGACCAAAAACTTATCCCTCTTCTTTTCTCTCTTCACATCGTCTCTTTCACAGCTTAGTCTCTTGAAAGCCCAGCCTCATAATGGTGTGGTGGAGGCAATTGCTTTTTTTTTTCTGATCTTGACTTCAACTCTAAATGCCTGAAGGTTATGGACATGTCAGTTCTCTATTCCATAATTTCTTATTAAATGGAGACATATACCTGTTTCCCAGTGGTGGCATGGGGATAAAGTGAACAGACTCTAATGCCTAATTATTCTATATTTTATGGAGGATTTATACATACAGGTAAAGTGCTAAGCACTTTACAATTATATTTTAATCCTTGCTTTAACCCCATGATAAAGGTTCGACTCTTATGTCCACTTCACAGATGAGGAAACTGAGGCTTAGGAAGGTAATGATCTTGCCTGAGATATCCCTAGTACGTGGCAGAGCTGAGATATGAACCTCTGCCTGCAGACTTCAGAGTTAAGGTCTTAATCACGATGCTCTATTATTTCTCTTTGAAAGCATTGTGAGAATATTGTGCTCTGAACAAAGTAAGGGACTCATTTCAGAAATTACATGACCCATAGAGAGTTACTTGAGTGTCCAGCCTAGGAGTGCAATAGTATCCAGCCATCATGGTGTCTTCAAGTCATGTATCCTGGGTTAAAATCATATCTGATGATTCCTAGCTAGGGAGTGAAATTTTGAACAATCCTGTGTCTGATATCCTCAAAAGCATAGTTCCAGATCTGAACACTCATTTGACATAAATACCTGTCGTAAGAGTCAGACTCACGGTCAGTTTTTCTTAGCCAGGAAGAGAAGCAAGTTTCTCTGTTTTCCTATTCATAAATCCTTCCATTCAAATGTTTTTCTGCTTGGCTATGATCGCCACCCCATAATCACAGGAGTATTCCACCCCCAACACCGAGTCATCCCCAGGGAAGGCCCTCTGTCCTCTCAGTCTCCATGGTGATGCCATGAAAACTTCTTCTAATACAGACATCATCCCCCCTCTGGGTCACAGCAGGGAAGGGAAGTTGCACATCTTAGGTACTGATGGAAGAGCAAATGTGAGACCAGAAGGACCAAGAAAGAGCAGCTAATAAGTGAATGTACAGGTGCCAGCATTTCTGAGGAAGAAGCACAGGAGACTGGGGTCTGGTAAAAGACCCATCATTAGTTCTTTGTCTTCTCTCCTCTGCTTCACTGTGAGTGTGTGTGTGTGTCTTTCTTTCTTTTGCTGTCTCTGTGTCTTTCAGAGTCCCTGTTTCATTTCCATATCCTTCCTTCTTCTTGCTCACCAATCCCCTTCAGATTCCTTCCCTCTCCAAACCTGTCTTTCCAGGTTGCTAAAAGACAGAGCCAATGAGACAGTGCAGGATTAGGAATGGTGCCACCGCTGTGAAAGCCTCAGTGGTGACAATAACAAATGGTATTTACCTAAGAGTTATTAACACATCAACTGTTCTCTCCCTTACTGTTTAGTCATGTCATTCAGCACTAATGGACTTTTCCAATGGCAAACTGAAAGAGAAGGAAAACAAACAGTGTATTCACACTAGATAGAATCGGTGCTCCTTGCCAAAGCTGTGAAAACAGAGGTAGGCTCTTAAGTTTGACCTGAGGACAGGTCTTACCTGTATAAGGTACACAGGACTCTGGCCTAAGTTGGACTCTTTACCAAGGTGTTTTCTACAGAGAAAGCAAGCAAAGCAAGAAGTGAAAGATTTGGCTTCCTGGTGCAAGAAATAAGGCACTGTCCCTATTCAATACCTTTCACCTAGGTGTTGATGACTGCCTTGGCTGC